TATAAAATGAAATGTATAGACAACAAAACTGGAAAAATATTTGCTCATTTTTTAATCTAGTCTCCATTGATTAAAGATATTTGTTTTTTTAGTAAAAACGTTTGTGATGTAATAGAAAATAGCTTAATTCAGAAACAATTTAAATTTGAATCGATATTTTTACTTTCACGATAAATTTTATGCACTTCGCTCTAGGCTAGGTGATCCCACACTACGCCTTTACTTTAGGCTTATTGTACCAACACCAACTGCAAGTTCTAGAACACCAAGGTGCAGGAACTCCTGACGTTCATGTGAAACAGCCTAAGTCTCCAACAGAATAATGTGGGAATGGAATATCTGAGAAAACTAAAGACCTTTAATAAAAAATAATGGTCCCCCCAACACGAGAAACATCAGTGAAAAGATCCTACAACTGGAAACTCATGATTGAGCCATGCTTGGAAGTAATCAAGAGTAGTAAGAGAAATTCTAATACACAACAGACTCCATGAGGGGGCTAAATCCTGTTCACAGTATGCAAAGTAAGTAAATAAAAAGAGTATTTCAGAGGTAAGTACCTGATTTAAAAAACAAATAGACTAATAAGGTTGGCTTTTAAACCTTTCAGAAGTACATAGTTGGATGACATAATACAGTTTTTAAGCTCTAGCTTTCTTTTTAATGTTAGTCATTTGAATAAAAAGTAAACTGGTTGTTACCAATGGCTTAATATTAAACAATTCACCCATTTAATTATTGTTTTTTCTTAATTATATACGATGGGGAAAAGTGACTATACAGTTGTTTGATGTAGAACATAGTTAATTTCTAATTACAACTGAAAAAATGCATATAATTAAACTGGTTTCATTTGTCTTTGTAATATTTCTTTCAGTACCAACACTACAATACTAACTGTATAGTATGTCTTGCCCCTACTCTGTAAATTAAGCAAGCTATTTAATTAGTGCAGGATAAATACAAACCTGCACAATGAACACAACCAATGTAAGAAATCTGATGAACACATAAACACACTTTTAATGTTCCGTGTAAAAACATGTAAATAATTTTGTTTTCAAGCCATCTGATCACACACACACCATTCTGTTGTGTTCATATGAAAATTTGCTTTCAGACAAAATACTTCAAACTAAATACTAAAATGTACCTTTATTTCCTCAGAAGAAATATTTTCTAGTTTTTTGGCAAACTCCTTGTCTTCTTCTAAGGCTTGAACAACCTGCTGTAAATATCTTCCATATTCAAGACCCTTTCAAGAAATAAAAAGAAAATTATTCACGTGTATTAAGTACCTTTATTTTATACCTTATCCTTGGTATAAAAATCTTGGTAAGTTACTTTTACTTTTAGAAATCTTGGTAATTTTTTGTACACAATACTTTTCTATAATTAACCATTATATTTTTTGTCATACTAAATTTATTTATCAACTTTTCAAGGAACATCATACATATTTATCTTAATTGCATTTTTTTTTAATGGTGAACATTTTCAATATCTAACTAAGATTACAGTGTTTCATGCTCAATTCTCAACATTCAAAAATCATGATGACAGAACAGAAGATCATCTATCAGGTTAGTCACCTTAGTATTACAGGGTACATTCTATCAGGTTAGTCACCTTAGTATTACAGGGTACATAAAAATACACATTTTCTTGCTGACTTAGTACTATATTAAATAATAAAAATAGTGAATTCTATCTTCTAATTATAAGTTCAGCAAAAGAATAAACAACTACTAAACTGCCTTACTCCACTACACATAAAAATCTGCAGGAATCTTTTACAAACACAAACCAATAATGGGCACACGAGTTTCTTGCAACATCCACTGAAGTTGATTGTTTAGCCAAGTTTGCAAAGTATAGCCACTCTAATCAATCATTTTGCAAATATTCTCAGGAAAATGCCATGGAAACCCAAGTTTTTAATTATAATTAGCAAAACAGAAAACAAATGGAAAAATCAGAAGGAGTATAAACTCATGTTTTTTTTTTTCATTACTCTCTATCAAAAAACATCAAAATTTAAGTTTTCCAAATTAGGGTTAATAGCCAGAAATGTCAAAAATGGTCAAGGGTCTATACAATCACAACAAAAAATTTTGAATAGGCAAGAGATGCATGTAAAAATGGGAGAAAAGTAGCCAGAAAATACAAAAAACTAAACTGGGCAGTTTACAACCAAGATTCAGCAAGGTAACAGTGTTAAATTCAAACAGTATAATGAGATTTAAGTTATAAATCCAGACTAGTTACATAATTAGAAGTTTGTATAATCCTTTTTTTTCCCTTCTTTTAATGGACTAAACTACTAAAAACTGACCACACAAATTTACTATTGAGCCAGTTACCTAAAATAATTGATTAAAACTTATACTTACATTATTAGGAGGAAACATACTGTACTAGCAATGAAGGACATTAGTATTAGGCCTATTTTCTAACACTACAAAATATAATAGGCATAATACTAATGTCTTATCATAAGTATTACTAATTATAATCATGCTTTGCCAGCTTAGTTGTTGTAACAAAAACTTGGGGGAAAAAAAGCATTAGATATAGAGTAAAAAAGCTTACAAAATCATCGATATCTTCATTAGTTTCCTTTTCCTTTCTCTCAGTTTCTTTCTTTTTCTCCACTCGATGAGGGGCAGAAAATGCAATATCAAGCAAGCACAAGGCAACCAGTACCACAAACACTTTCATTTCAATCTGTTATAAATGTCTGTATAACATTTTAAAAATATGCAAGTCAATCACAAAAAAACAACATTACTAATATACTATATTTAAATTTTCTCTTCTTGTATAAACTTATCCAATTTATTAAATCACCTCAAATAAAATACCACTCTCACTGTTCTTTACTGTACGGTTTTAAGTTACTTAGTATAAATTATGTTTTTAGACTGGCTTTAAAAATGTATTAATATGCTTAAAAATACAGTAATATGAATCAGTGATATTTAACATGTGAATTTTGTAAATTAATATTCTTAAAAATAGACAAATTTTTCAATGTCTTTCTACAAAAAAAGGTAAACTTTAATACATTAATATTTCTGCACATTTGAGGATTTAAATAGTATATATATATACTACCATTTTTAAGTGAACTAACATATGCAAATAGTAGTATGTCCTCAGGAAAAATTTATCTTAATACTAACAATAATATAGTTAATAATGGCTGTTATATTAAAGTTTTTCTTCATTACCCATTCAAGCCGTCTCCAGCCATTATTAGTCTCAAAGTGGGTTCCTCATCATCGAATAATATAGTTATATTTTTATTGTACATATACAATTTTATAATAACTTAGTGCAAAATAAACTATCTTTTCATATTACATAATATTGCAATATCTTCAGATACATGTTTAACAATTAGGGCATTATTTTCATTTAGGTCACAAGCAAGTACTTTATTATCCTAATATTGCTGTTTCAGAGGTCATATGCAAGAATTTTCACATAAACGTAATTATGTATTTTAGGTCACATGTAGTATTATTAAAAATACTGACACTTGACTAACCATACTTTGGTATCAGGCGATTTATTTTTTCCAAAAGCCTAAATTTTAAAAATGCTTATGAAAAAAGCAGCGAAATGCATGTGCATTCTTCAACATATAAAACAATTGCACAGCGAGAAACTGAAGAAAGTATCTGAGGAGGGGGAATTGATGGTTTCCTGAAAAATAAAATGTAGATTTAAATTTTTACTTTTCTCATATGTGAGTTTACAAAGACATACTTATTTGCTTTTAATCATGTCTCTACCTTGAAAATGTTTTCAGACTAAAAATGAAGCCTTAATGATTTATACAAAGTCTTTAAGTCCAATCTTTCCTATATTCAACATAATTTTCATATACACATGTTACTAATCTCTTAAGAAATCTCTTATAAAGCTTATGCTTGACAAGACCATGACACAGCTTCAATACACTAATCGCAAAATCTGATTAAGGTTTTACTGTTGACTGCTATTAAACCCAGATTTACTGGTTTATATTTAAATTTTCACAGCTTTCTTCCTAAATTCTTTAAATAAAATATAACAACCATCTTAATTACCAGAACTTATAAAATTGCCAGTTCTGCTTTTGCTTGCTTTTAACTCTGAAATAACTAATTTCAGTACAACTTTATGAAACGTAAACACTCTGTTCAGCTCGTTAATTCAGTAATCAAAGAGATCATGTCAAAACTTGTGAATAAAAAGGAATAGGTCAACAGTAAACTTCGGAATGTGAACACATAGTTGTTTCTTTGCTGTAGCCAATTTTTGTCTTATATCTTTGAACTTCATCAACCTCAATAAAACAAATTAGTTGTTACTCATTTTTCACAATAAGTTAAGATTAAGAACTTTGTCTAGGATGAAAAACATGCTGTTTTCATGGTCATCTATCCTTAGAGGTGTCAATCTGGTAATGGACATATCAAAACAACCTTTAATAAATCGAGCAAGTATCTTCACATATGCATATTTTTTAATAGTCCAATTTATTATAATGACTTTCAGATTAACTCTTCAACTTGTAATGAGCAAGAGTTAATGATAATGGAAACTACTTTTATTAAAGATCTAAAACCTACCCTCAACAAATAAAAAATGTAATAATTTATTGGGCTAATAATAAATGGTCACGACTCTCCAAAATCAAAAAGGCTAGCTTGCTGGTTCACCAGTAAGCTCTGAATGATAAGCACTTTAATTCAAGAGAACAATAATAAATATGTTGTTAAAATAAGTAATATAGTGTTAAAAAAACTTTATCCCCTACCTCCAATGTTGTGACAAATAAATTTTTATGAAAAATTACACTTCAATTATTACCATAACAGTTGTTATGCAATTAGCTATTATAAGTAGCATCTCAACCACTATTGTGTCTGTTATATGCAAGTCAGCCTCAATTGCCCCAATAATGGGAGAAAGGCCTCATTAGCACTGGACATAACAGATAGCATAGTTGAAATATTATGAGCTCCTTTTTACTTTCTCTCTGACTTACCACTGACCCATTAGTGGACATTAAGTTGGAAAGAAATAAAAATTATGCATTTTTCCTTCCCCCACAAAAACCCATGTGAAATACATTTTCTGTATCTTGTTTCAGTATTTATTCATTCCCAGTCAACTTACTACAGATTATTCGCATAAATCGTGATAAAGGTAAATTAGAAGACAATAGATATCATTTCACATATGTATTCAAAATATCCATCTTCCATTAACAATGGATAAGTAAGCAAAAAGCAACTGAATGTGATACTCCTCAAGTACTGTAAATTCGGAACTGATTTAAAATAAAGGGCCCGTG